CTACGTAGAGAAATTCCATCTCAAAAAGAAAAAAATAAAATAAAAGCAGATAGGCAACCTGATCTAGCTTTTGGTGGTCTGTCTCATAAAGGCACTGAAAGCCTTGTCGGAATACTGGTGCCATCTGAAGGAAGTTGAATTTTAAGTTCATTTTCCTCCTGTCAGTATGCAGAGTGGAAAAGCCGTGCTTGTCCGCATTATGGGTGTTCGTTCCCCCAGAAGTATAATCTGCCTGGATCAGTCTTGGGTGCGTACTAAAGAAAGTGTCTGGATAGATAGATAGCTGGAGACGAGCTTTCAGGTACTTGCGGCAAATTTGAGACAGTAAAAATGAATACTCAAATGAGGCACTCGACATATCAGCCGATTCCATTTTAACTCAGGTGGGGGAGGGGCGGGAGTGGGCAAAGCGTTCCGCACCATAGAGGTAGAGCTGCTTAATCACACACACACAAGCTCAAGAACTGCCGGGCACCGTCCTTACAGCTTAGCCCTCCGTTCCCGATCAGGTTCGGGGCGTCCTGAGAAGTGATTCCACAGGATGAGTGACCCGAGTGCTTTGGGGCCCTCCTTTACATAACACCAAATTCTGAGCTTTACTGCTGTCTTACGTCTTCTCCCTGCCTAATCCTGCTCCACGGCCACAGACATCTACATAGAAATTGGAATGTCCTTTGTTTAGTTCTCCCGTCCTGCGGTGGCCCGCCGCTCTGAGGCCACCTAATCCCGCACGTGTTCTCCAGCTCCACACAAATTGTTTATGCGGGCAAACCGCGGGGCTGGCCTGTTGCTTCCACGGAGGAAGCACAGCGGCCTCCCGCGTGTGCAGAATGCTCGCCAGGATCCAAGGCGAAGATTAAGCCTTCTCTTTAGGTTGCAAAGACAGTCTATTAAGGGAGACCGGAGGAGGTCACGTCCAAGACATGCAAATGGACCTGGCACCAAGATTCAAACCTAGTTTTAATAAGTTAATAAGAACGGAAAGTAAGTGTCCACAGGTCACTTTTTCTTCATAACCTCTAATATTTGGAGTTTAAAACTCAGGTAGAACATAGAACTCGAAACCAGGTGCACACCTGTCATCTACGCCGTGGGATGGCTGAAGCCCGAGGAACCTGAGCTCTGGAGGCCAGCCTGGGCTACATGGCAAAACTTTGTCTCGAAAATTAGAGAAAAAGGTCTTCATACTTCTTCACGAAACATACAGGATATCAGCAAAGGTAGATGTGTTGCGTGTTTTTGAAATAAATGAAAAAAAAAAAAAAACCGCAAAGACTCCACAAGAGTAAGCACAGGCTTTATTGCGCTTCACTGAGAAAAACAGAAAGGAAAAGCCGTCGTCTATTAAATGTTATCTTCACTGAAATTTCTCTCCCCTTCTCCGAGTGCTCAGACTAAAGCCTGAAGGGTGAGGTGAGGCCCACGGAAATACATTTGTGTGGGTTTTTCCATGTCGAAAAGAATTTAAAGAGCAAATCTCCGTGTCTCCTGATGGGAGTAACACCAGGCTGGAAGCCTTAAAGTCTGACACACTTCTCCAAGCGTTCCCCAAAGTTGCAGATCTCAGTTAACTGAGGGCGCTGGCCTCAGTGGTCTCCTGGGTCCACCTGAATACAGCTTTTTACCTAACGGAGCTGAACTTCCCCCAAATGGGAGAATGAGCTCCAGCTGGAAGTTCAGTCATGACCACAACTTACAGATCAGACACCACGCACCATAGTTTTCTTAGCAAAACTATGTAGACGTCTTTGACAGAGATTCAAAGTTAGTCTCTGTGTGTGTGTGTCTGTCTGTCTCTCTCTTACACACACACACACACACGCGCGCGCGCGCTCGTGCCCAAGGCTTTGGTAATGTTTTAACTTAACTTCCATGCGCTAGAAAAGCGAAAAGCAAAGCACGGTTGGAGAGTGCCGAAGGATTAGGGACCTCAGGAGAACCCTGGAGCATCCGGGCGCCTGTGTGGTGTCCCGGGACGCCGGGGAAGTCGTGTTAGGTCACCCCGCCCAGGCTCCGGGTGTCCTTTCCCGGGCGGGTAGCGGGAAAGCCAATGGGGAGCTTCTCAGCCGAGGGCTGGGGTGGCTGGCTGCCCGCTCTGGGCAACGGGGTGGAGCGGCGCGGGCGGCCAGGACCGAGGGGTGGGTGCCCGAGCCGGGGCCGCTCCGACGTCCCCCGCCTGGCGCGCCCCGGATGCCTGGAGCTGGCCGCTGGCCTCGGGAGGCCGCGAAGGAGCAGAGTAAACACGGCGCGGCGGGCCCGCCCCACCCCCGGCCCCGGCCCGCAGCTCTCCGCGCCCGCGCCCCCGCCCCGCGGGCCGCAGCCGGGACTGGCGGGCTGGGCCGCACCCGGCGCGGGTCCCTCGGAGCGCGCCTCGCTGTCCCGCCCCGGCGGGCCGGGCCCCTCGGGCGGGCGAGGGCCCTGCTTTGCTCTTTTCGTTGGCCAAGCACAATTGTGTTATTGGAGATAATGAATTCAATCCCCATCAAAGGGCATTAGGCTTGCCCGGGCCCTGGAGTTGCTGGTGCCTTTTTTTTTTTTTTTTTAAACTAGAAATGAAAGGCCGAGGAGGAGAAGAAAAAAATTCTCCGGGGGAGCCTTTCCCCTGATCGCTGCTTTTGAAGTGAAGGGGCCTGAGCATTGTTGTTCACCTCGCGGCCCATAAGGCTGAAGAAAGCCCGGGCTTTTGATGGGCTGAGAACCGCCTCGGCAATGAGCGCCACGTCGGGCTGCGCGGCCTGCGGGCAGCATATGGCTCAGGGCACCCTGGCCCCGTCTGGCGGGCGGGACCTTGGGCCCCGAAGGGCTGGGGCTGGACCCGAGGCCTGCACCCAGAGGCTGACCCCATGGGGCCTGCCCAGGGCTGAGGCCGGGCTTGGTGGATGGCGCAGAGGTCGCCTTTGGGAGCCAGCACCCCCCTCCCTTCGGGAAAACTGGTGTCTCCGTGAGGGTGGCAGGCCTGAGGGTGGCAGGCCGGAGGGGGCAGGCTGGAGGGTGGCAGGCTGGAGGGTGGCAGGCCTGAGGGTGGCAGGCCTGAGGGTGGCAGGCCTGAGGGTGGCAGGCCGGAGGGGGCAGGCCGGAGGGTGGCAGGCCCAGCTATTTGGGCACCCAGCGTCGCTGGCTGAGCGTGACTGTGGAGGTGTGCACTCCAGAAAGGTGCAGCTGAGGGCTCGGCCCCAGCAGAGCGCGGGCTGCAGTTTTCTCGCGCACCCAAGGCGCTGGGCCACATTTTCTGAAGACGTGTGGAGGCATTTCATCTGCCCCAGCACCAACTTGCCTCACCTGGAAGCGCCCCCTCCTCCTCCGCTCCCGGCCCCCTGAACCCTGGCCCCGGGGTTACCTACTGCTCCCTCAGGGCCCTCCCCGCCGCGGCCCTCCTCCCCCTGCCCGAGGGATCCGGGTTAGCCGCCCCATTAATATATTAGGCAGGCACAGCACAAAGGCAGCGCGTGTCGGCCAGGGCCCTGTGACTCCAGGGAGAGGCCGGGAAACCTGGACAATGCCCTGCCCACTGCACCGCTCGCCGGAGACCCGGCCAATCCACCCCCAACCCGGGCCAAGCCAAGCGGGACCCCACGGGGGCTGGGCTCACAGCCCAGCTCGGGCCTTCCGGGGCGCGTGGGGCTGAAGCTCCCAGCTCCCGGGTGAACCCGGAGCTAGACAGACGTCCCCCCAAATGTCCCAGACACCTGGTCCGTGCCGGGAAAATCAGTGCCGGGGAGCACTGCGGATGCGAGAGCACTGCTCCCCCACCGCGCGCGTACAGGCCTCTAACAGCACATCTACAAGCACACACCTCCACAGAGACCCTCGCGTTTGTCTCTTTCAGTTGCCGGGAAAGGGAAGGAGAGAAGGAAGGAAAAGATAATCTCGGCTGCGGGTGTGCTTAGACAGGAAGCGGGGCAGCGAGCTTCCGAGGAGGGGGGAAAGGCCCGGGAGGCCCCCATTTCAGTGCCCGAGCCCAGTTCCCGGGCAGCGCTTCCCGGGGGAGGGGAGAATGTCCAGGTGGCCTCTCTGGGGTCCAGGGGCCGGAGCCCGGTGTGTAGTCCTTAAGAGGACGCTGGGAAAGGAGAAGGCCCCCTCGAGGGCAGCCCCCGACTCAGGTGTTCCCGAGCTCGGCTCAGCAGCCGTCTCCGCTGGATCCTAACGTCCGCACCACAGCCCTGCCCTTCGCGGATTTCCCGGGACGGCGGCCTGCCTCTACATTCCAAGTGGGCTAGCGTTTTAGCGAACTCCAAAGCACCCCGGGGTGGTGTCTGGAAGCCTCCCGGGGCCGCAGGGGAACAGGGAGCGTGACTTTTCGTGCGTCCTCCTAGCCGTGGCGACGGGAGACGCGAGGAAGAAGTTGGGGAAAGTCAGTGGCAGTGAATCCCCCCACCACCCCCAGCCCCCGCGCCAGGTTTTAAGGAATCTGGAATGAAAATGTGTTTTACAGGTGACGGCTGGACTTCTTGGGTATTCTCCAGCCCCACAGTGCTTCCCGAAAGGGCGGGGGGGGGGGCAGAGGGGGGAGGGGTGGTGGTGGCAGCCCCAGCTGTGCAAAGTTCAATGAATGGAGCCCGCCTGGGAGGGACAATGAGAAAGACCAACGGAATCATTCTGTCCCCAACTTAAGCGTTTGCAAGGAAGAAGAGACTTAGGGAAGTCTGTTGTTGGATGTATTTAGACACTCTGAATAGTAGCCTTAGGTGGAAATAAAACTTGCTAACGTGGCTGCCCTAAAACCCTCCTCTCTCCGCGGAAGGCTGGTTCTAGGGATGTTGCGAGCTCTGTTGTGCCATTTTGCTCTTACATTCTTAGTTTCTCGAGACTCTTTTGAGGTTTAATTACTCTTCCAATTTGAGTAATTCTTACACCTAAATTTCAACATAATTTGATTACCTATTTAGGTTAGGGGGGCTTGTAATAATCTCTCTTTTTTTTACACTCAATTATCTTGAATCAGGGGAACCTTCTCTTAACTGCACTTGGTTGCAAAACACAGCCACAATTCAGGCAAACAGTTAATTTTAAAGGCAATTTAAAAAACTTTATTAAATACATACTACATAATTAAAGCAATTTTATTTTTCAATGAGGTTTTTTCTCTTGACATATTGAAGTGTCACATTAAAATACATTATAGCTAAATGTTCTATGATATTACTGCTAAATCAACAGAAAACCAATTGATCTAGAGGAAAGGTTAATTAATTTGGGCTACAGGGCTTCTACTTTCGTCTGCAATGAAAAGAATTTCTATTGATCACTGCAGTTTTTTTTTAAAGAAACTTGATAAGCATTTTCATGGAACTGAGATCAATGTTTTAAATGCCAAAACAACAGAATTTTATAATTTTTATCGCTCTTGAAATTCTCTTCGGTTGTAGCTCATTCAAAACGGTTAAACCAGAGAGAAAGGTCTAACAGTCGCAGTGAAATCTGCCTTCTGAAAAAAAGAAAACACAAGTGAAGAACTTCACCAGCGTTTGCACGTTTTAATGCTTCTCCGTCCGTCTATTCCGCCGTGAGGGGACAGCAGAAACTGAATTTTACCTTTAAGATTTAAAGGCGGACATGGAAATCAACCTGAGCTGCCTTCTGCTTGGGACCGTTTCAGAGTTGTTTCGTTCCGTTGGATACAAGTTCATTATCTGTTTTGGGCTTTTTGTTTTGTTTTGTTTTTATCATATTTAAGAGAGTTTCAGAGCTGGAGCGTCCAAACACAGGGTGAAAGTAATTCCCAACGCTCCCCTCCTAGGCAGGCCCTGCACTCACTGCCCAAACGCTTTTCTGTGTCACTGTTTACTCCCGACGTGGTAGACCCGAGGGCCCCTGGAGCTTTCCACTTGGGTCAGTGGGAAGCCTTTTCCCTCCTCGCTGGCCCCCTCTTCCGGCCCCTCCTCCATCCCGCGAAAATTCCTAAAATCTCAGCTCCTGGCCCTGACCGCGCTAGGCGCGCAGGCTTCCTGGCAGCCAGAGTGCGGGTGAAGGAGCCGGGGCCGGGGTGGGGGCGGAGAGAGCCGGGGGCTCGCGGGCGGCGCTCTGGGGAGGGTCCCCGCGCGCTGCTGGAAGCACAGATGTTTTCTTCCTGGCCCCGCTCGGCGCCCCGCTCGGCCGGGCCGCCGGTTGTGTGTCCCGGTTTCCGAGGAAGGGATTACGCAGCGGGAGCGGCTCGGCCAGGCCGGCCGCGGGGTGGGCCGGGGACCCGGCGCTCGGCCTCCTTTGTTGACTTTTAGGTCTGTGGCTCTACAGAAGATTTATTCGCTAGGAGGGGGAAAAGTGCCCAGACAATGAGGAACTAACTGCATTTGTCACCTCGGGATGCTTGCGCGGCCCGCTCTGCCCCCTCTTGCCCGGCAACCATCTGTCCGGGGGCCCCAGCCTGCGTGCGACCAGGCCTCGTCCGGAGCCGGCGGGGCGCACAGGCGCAGAGCCCGGAGGGAGGCCCGCGAGGCTGCAGCGCGGCCCGCAGGCGCCTGCCTGGCGAGCCGGGCCAGCAGCCCTGGTCCCCGCGCATCCCGCCCCGCATCCCGCATCCCGCATCCCGCCCCCGCACCCCGCATCTCGCGTCACTGGAGAGGCCTGGACCACGGGCACCTCGTCCCCGCAAGCCCGGAAAGCTCTCTACCAAGAGTCAAGGAACGAGAACTTAAGCCCGACACAAACCCGGAGGACGGACAGACAGCACCCAAGTCAGACTTTTCCTTTCAGGAGAGCGTGAGAAAAGCACGAGCCTAAGACCACGCGTTTACACTGCACGGGAGTTTGAACTTGCCCGTTATGTTTGTAACTGTTGGGGGGTGGAGAGCGTTCCCGTCTTGGGGGGAAGCCTGGCGTCCTTTAGAGTACTTGAAATCGAGTTTCGAAATTACTCACGCCAGTAATTTCTCTGCCCTCCTCCTCCTTAGTCGCGGAGAGCAGAGCAGGGGATTCTGGATTTTGCTCAAGTGCCCAGTGGCACCCTTTCTCTCATCTGGAGAGGTAATTACGCGATAATTAAAGGACCGGCAGGGCTTTTTTTTTTTTTTTTTTATCGCGTCTGTGTCGTGGAGTGCTGCAAGCCCAGTGCAGGCTGCTCAAGTTCAAGCCCTGGAGAGGCTGGAGCTCAGGCAGGAGGGCTCAGGCAGGCCAGCCTCTGCCTGGGCTGGTGCTGTTATTGTTGGTGTCAATCCGAACAATCGGAACAAGCCTTACAAAGAAATAGGTGGACTGGAAAGTGAGCCTACTATCAAAGGAGATTAATGATTTTGTGATCTCAAGCAACTATGGGGCGTGAAGTTGCATTTCAAAGCTTCTTACAAGGCAAACAAGCCATCAGCTTTAGGTTCTCAGAAACAATATTTTAAAAATATCTCCACAAAATACAAAACAGCAGCTACCCTGAGGTACTCACAAAGCGTCCCCCACGGATGAATTAACTGCCCCCCCCCCGCCCTCCAAACGACGGTGATAGCTAAGCGTTGCTTCTCTTTACCAGGAGGGTTCAGAGTCTGTGGCAGATAACTTAATTTTAGCAGCCACGGCTGCTATTTTATTCTTACTCAAATACTTTCCCGAAATAGAAAAAAAAAAATCAATAACTTAATCTCAAACCAGCAAAAATAAAATAAAACAAAACGAGAAACAAAAGGCTTTAAAACCCTATGCTTTCTTCCCTCACCAAAAAGAAAAAGAAAATAAAGGAAAAAAACCTGAAGTAAACATTACTAGGAATAAAGAATTTTTAAATTTTTCAGTTCTTGGAATAGTGTCAGGTTATCTACCTGCTTTCATTGAGTTTCTTTCCCCACATTTTACTAGTTACACATGTAGGTTGCAGTTGAAACCACTATATTTTAGGTTACACACCTGTTTGTCTTTTATGTTAAATTTTAGAATTTGAAAAATATCCTATTCAGAAGATCTATTTTGTATTTTAATTAAAGATCTGTTTTGGATTTTGAGTGAAAGAGAATAACAAATTCTTTGTTGTTAACATTTGATTTATTTAAATTCCTTAACTGCAAATGATCAGGAACATATTTCACAGATTAAAATCCCGTATTATTTTTGTTATTTAAATCAAAAATCATAATTACAATCACATCGATAAAAATTAACATTTTAAATTTGGAGTTTTAACCATCACTTAAAAGCAATTTCGGCTGTAAAGAAAAAGAATAAACCATGCAATAAATTAACATTGAGGAAATAATAGTGAAACCCGTTTGTCTAAAACTAACACCGCATCCAACTGTGGAAAGTGCATTAACACTGGATGAAAGGAGCAGATGACGGCAATAACTAAAATGGCCACGATTAGGATTTTGGAACTTGTACCAAAATTTGAAATGTATTTCGTATAACATCTCTCTCCTCAACAGTATGGTGCTTCCTCCCCCCCCTCCCCCCCCCCCCCCCCCCCGCCCCCCCGGGAGGAACCTTTAAATGGTGTACATACAAAAAAAGCTAGTTTTATACATGTGACCTCAGAATAACATGACCATGGCTCTCTGCAAAGCAAGGAGCGGAGTTAGGGAGGAAGGCAGTTCCTGAAGAGTTGGCTCTCAGGGACATACGTGGGTAGAGACGACAAGCATGTAGGAGGATCCTTGTAACTCGGTCAGGCAACTTTCGAAAATGTAGCATGTATATCACCTACCTCTACGTGTTATGCAAAAGTGGGCGAGTTCTTCATATATGGGCATTAGTAAGTCCATAGACATATGTATGCATTCCGTTTAAACACATCTGCTACCCGAACACATCAGAAATGCAAGCTGAAAACCAGGGGCTCTGATGTGTGTCACCTGTCTGTCCCTGACTGCTTAAAGGCAGCACTGTCTGTCAGTACCGTCAAGAGCCCCTGTCTACTTGATTCTTCACCGTTTCCATTTTTGCTGAGTTAAGAGTATTGCCACAGACCTGTAAACGCGCGAGGTGGGACTAGGTAAAGAGGGGCAACAACAACAACAACAAAAAAGCACAAACAAATATCTTACAAACTTGACCATCTTCTTCTTTAAATAAGCCCTGCACAGACTAGACTGTGTCCACAGGGGGAGAAGTGAAAGGGAGAACAGGGCAAGGGAGGAGGAGGATTTTTCCGTATATACACTTGTGGATCATTAAACGTTGCAGGAAAAAGTGTGGGTTGTATTTGTAATATACACACAACAGCGAGTGTTGACTACAACAGTAAAGTAACAGTCCTTTGAACTGGGGGGAAATTGTGCATGAAAAATAAAAATAGTTGGGATTTTATTGTGGGGTTGGTTTGGTGTGTGTGGTTTTGTTTACTGTTTGTTGTTGTTTCTCTCTCTCTCTCTCTCCTGCTAACAGGCTGGCCATGCGGACAGAGCCCCAGTTCTGGGAGCTAGGAAGTGTTTAGCACGGGTCTGGAATACACACCTTGGTAGTAGGCGGGCTCCAAGGCTGAGGGCTCGATGGGGCTCCTCGCGGCCACCGAGGCGCTGCCGAGGGGCAGGCTGGCGGGCAAGGCGGCGCCGTAAGGAGAGTACTGCAGGGCCTGCTCGTACGCCTTGAAGTCCAGCTTGTGCTGCTGCTCCGAGGAGGACATGAGGTTGTTGATGGAGAAGGGGTGGTTAAAGGAGTAGTGGGGGTCCCCTTTCAGGTGCAGCTGAGATTCGTGGGGTGCCAGGCCGTGTGCCGGGTGAGAGGGGGGTACGGAGGCCAGCGCCCCCGGCCCGGAGCTGATGGGGGGCGCGGAGGAAGACGCCGGAGACTTCAACTCCGAGGCGCCCCCTGTCGCCGCGGCCCCACCGTGGTCCAGAGTCTGGGGGCTGGCGGCGGGCCCGGGGGCCGGCGCGCCCTCTAGCTGGCCGGCCTTCCCGTGCACGGCGCGGTGGAGGGGCGACTCGGCGCTAGGGTTCCCCGCGCCCGCGGGGTCCTTGCGGCTTTCGGGGACGCCCTTGGCGCCGCCGCCCCCGCCCCCGCCGGCCCCCGGCTGCTTCTCACACTTGAAGCGCTTCTGGCGGCGCAGGTAGCAGCCGTTCTCGAACATGTTGCCGGAGTCCGGGTGGAGCGTCCAGTAGGAGCCCTTGCCCGGCTTGTCCGGGGAGCGCGCCACCTTGACGAAGCAGTCGTTGAAGGACAGCGAGTGGCGGATGGAGTTCTGCCAGCGCTGCTGGTTCTGGCGGTAGTAGGGGAAGAGGTCCATGATCCACTGGTAGATCTCGCTCAGCGTCAGCATCTTGCTGGGCGCCTGCTGGATGGCCATGGTGATGAGCGAGATGTAGGAGTAGGGCGGCTTGGCGTGCGGGTAGCTGCGCTTGAAGGCCTTGGCGTCGCCGCCGCCGCCCGCGCGGCTGCGGCCCAGGTTGGACGGCGCGTACGCCATGGGGCTCACGCACGGGTTCATGGCGGCCGCGTAGGGGCCCAGGCCGTTCATGGAGGCCGCGGGCTGCGCGCCCATGGAGCCCATGCCGCCCGGGCTCAGCGCCGCGCCCATGGCCGTCACGCCCGCCGCCGTCATGCCGTTCATGGCGCCCGCCGAGCCCCCGGGCATGCCGCCCACGGCGCCGGGGCTCAGGCCGGCCCCCAGGCCCGGGTTGGCGTAGGACATGTTGAAGGAAGCGGGGGTCATGTTGCCGCTCGTGGTCATGGTGTTCATGGTCATGTAGGTGTTCATGGAGTTCATGGAGCCCAGGCCGGAGTTCATGTTGCTGACGGGGACCGCGGAGTAGGCCTGGAGCGGAGACAGACAGCGGGGAGAGGCCCCGAAGGGCTCGGTTAGTACTCTGCGGAGGGGCTGGCGCGGCCGAGCCCGGCGTTCCGCCCAGCGATGCCGGCAGGGCACGCCGCTGCTCCCTGCGCCGCGGGGGCCGGGAGGGTTAGCCCTGGCGGAAATTCTGTCCCCGGGAGGAAGCGCAACCGCCTCACGCGCCCGGGCCGGCTTCTAGGGTCCCTTCATTCCGACCACCGCGGGCTGTACCCGAGCAGCCACCCCACCCCAACAGACCAACTGCCTTTGGGCCAAAGCAGGCTTGAACTTCCGAAAACAGAATTCGAGTCTGAGCCTCCGCTTCTTCTCTGCACCCCTATAGCGACGTGGGTTCCACACAGGCCTGCTGGGCGCTCAGCCCGACACCAGCAGGGCGCCCACCTTGCGGAGGGACGGCGCGCGGCAGGAGGCGGTGTGCAGGCCGCCGTGAAACCCGCACCCACCGAGCAAATCGCCTCGGTGCCTGTATCCCCCACCCCAGTCACTCTTCTCCCAGCAACCGGCTTTGTCTTAAGAGTTGGTGCCAAACGGTGACTTTCTGTTATTAGACTTAGAAGCGACGCTCCCCAACTAGTTGTAACAATGATAGTGATTTCAAAGAAGCAAGCTCGTAAGTTAAATAAAATTCTGGAAAAAAAATAAAATAGAAAATAAGCTGCACAAGCGAACCCCACGGTGCGTATGTTTAAGTTCAGCGTGACTTCACACGCACAGTCAGTCCTTCAAGCTACTCCAGACCCTGCGTTAATCCTGTTACCTGTCTGCAGTCCTCTGACAACTGGGAGATTTGGTAACACAGTTTACACACACACACACACACACACACACACACACACACACACACACACACACACACCATAACTGAGAGTTGTTGCTCATAGCAAAAGCCCCGGGCTCTGAAGCTGCAAGAGTAGTTTGGAATAATTTAAAATTCTCAACTCAAACTCTACTTACTTCCTCTTAATGCTACGCGGCTTCCTAATTCTCAGTTTTGAGACAGAAGGAAGCTCTCTCTATAGGGGTCTTCCCGGGAGGGCCAGGAGGACTACATCCAAAATGAGACCCCGGAAAGTGGTCTGAGCCCTTACTGAAATCACCAGCAACCAAAATCCCCATAAATGGCAATCGGGAGAGTGACAGGGTGGTTAGAAGACACAGAGTCCTGATACATAATGCTTATCTGGCAGTCTAACAGACACTGTTGATGTCCTGAAACGTTTGCTGATGTTGATCAGCAAACGTGACTCCGTTTGGGAACATAGGGGATGAATAGATTTAAAAACGAAGACCCCCAAAAGTATGGCTCCCAGAGCAACACGCAGACGGATGCATAAATCTGCCGTGAAGGTGTGTTCAGATCCCGTACTTTACAGAGCTTGAAGTACTTTTGACTTCGGGATTTATTTCTAACCCTCTCTCCAACACCGCACGAGGCTCTGTCAGTGAGCGCGTTCGAGAGCGGTCCTGAAACTTTAGAAGGTGACCGGCGGCTGTTTCTAGAGAAGTGCTTTTGGTAGGTAGTGGCCCTGCCTGTACCTGATCTTCCTCGCAACGCTTTTGTGCACGGTGTAAAATAAACCCCGTGAACGTGCCACCAAGGGGACAATGAGGAGAAACAGGTTCCTGGCGCTGAGTTCTGGGGAAGGAGCCTGTGCGCACTAGCGCCACCCAGCGGCCGCAGGGAGGAGCGACAGACCGGGCTTTTGAAGAACAAGTTTGATAAAATTTTAGAAACCGTTCCCGACCGGAGGAGCCCAAACTTCTTGCGGTAGATCTTTTTATTTTTTTAACCCCAAAGACGTCGGCGAACTAAGCGGCCTGACCTGGGGGCCGCCCGCGCGGTAAGCGAACACCGGCTCTGGCAGTTGCTTTTAAGTCGTGCCAGAGCCCGCCGGCCACCCCGGGGCTCCGGGGCCCGGCTGCGGCTCCCGCTCTCCGCAGGGCGAAGGCGAGCGCTCCCGGGGCCGCGATCTCCGAGCCCGGACTTTCCGAGGGCTCCGCGCTCTGCCGGCGCCGCGACCCGGCGGCCCCCAGCCCGGCGGGGTCCCCCGGACGCCCGCCCGCCCGCCCGCGCGCCTCTCACCTCCTGCGTGTCCGCGTAGTAGCTGTTCCAGTCGCCGCTCTCGTGCCCTTCCATCTTCACGGTCCCTAACATCCT